GTAGGTTTGTTTAGAGTGACCTTCTCTTAGATGGATTGCCTTACAAGGCTGACGAGCTCCATCTGCCCGGGGGGCTGGGAATCGAACCCGGGTCGCAGCGGTGAGAGTCCTGCACCCTAACCACTAGACCACCAGAGGCCCCTATACCGGGCATAATAATCATATTCTTTCCAGACACTAAGCATTTTTTAATACGGTTTTGGTTTACATATTTGGAAATTAGCACTTATTAAAATTTGTAAATGAACCCAGACAATTCCAGCTTTGAATATGACCAGGAACAACATTTTTAAATTAGAGCCATAAATTAGAACCTGCATTTCCTTCTGGAGCCTTCAAGAAAAAAGCATTGAAGGATATACAGTATCTCAGGACGTTTTCTCCAGGCTGTTGGAGCTTTCAGAATATTTTACATGATTCACATCATGTCTTGCCTTTCACCTCTCTGTCAATTTGCATCTATTTCATAGTCAGAAGCTATTCAGTCTGCCTCAGTGATTTAGAAGAAAATAATGTGCGATATCTTATTGGATTCAGCATCGAGAAAGCATGTACTACACCAGTAGAAGCTATTTTAGGTCATATGACATTGAAACAACAAACCAGTGAACAGATTGTAGGTGTCTGATAAAGATATTGGTGGAACAGAGCAAAGACTAGATATTATGTCCATATTCTGCAATGATAGCCAAAAGTTAAAGAAAAGAAATTAAAACAGTTGTCATAATGGAAGGAGTGAAAACAGGCTAATTTCAGAGAGTTGCTTCCCTTTTATTCTTAATTACATTACTGGTATCTGGGTAAATAAATCAATCTGAGAATTCTAGATTGTGTTTTAAAATGGTTTCTCTTTGTCCATCCCTAATATGTACATTTTATACACATTTTCTCATAACACAAACCAATTACTTCATTCTGATCTCTCAAACATGTCTATTTTACCCATAGCATACCAGTAATTAAGCTCAGATAAGTCTTTGCAAGAAAACCAATCAGAATTAAATCTTACTTTTTTTTTTTGTGGGGAAAGAAAAATCAAGTACAAAAGTTATGAACATATCTCAGATATTGCTAGGAAATACAGAAAAATTAATAGTGCTTTAATGCATAAATATTCAACTGCATAACTATGTTTTAATAGGAGTAATCAATCGTTTATGGAAAGTATACTAAAATGCACCTAGTTCATACTAGACAGCCAACTGTGATTTATTAAGGTAATATAACTTTTCTGATATATAATAATCTGAAGGGGCCCCTGATGGTCTAGTGGTTAGGGTGATGCACTCTCACCGCTGTGACCCGGGTTCGATTCCCAGCCCTCCAGGCAGATGGAGCTCGTCAGCCTTGTAAGGCAATCCATCTAAGTAAAGGTCACTCTAAACAAACCTACGTCCTGAGACCCTCACTGCCACTGTCCAAGCTTGCTTGGCCCCGGCAGATGAACCTCAG